AATACTAATTACTACCCATTACCACACACGTGCCAAATTATCCCTTTCACCCTCCTGCCTCCCCCCTTAATAGACTTCTTTAAAGTCTATTAAAAAGAGAAAACAAACAAAACAAAAAAATAAATTATATATAATTGTGGTCTTAATAAATTATGCTTCAAAATGTAATATTTTGAGAAAAGGATACAATTTTGAAACCTACGTTATTATATAACAAAAATGTATGTTCCTAAAATAATTGGGACTTCAGACCACTAAAAGCCACTATAGGTAATGAATATATATATATATAGAATATATATATTTCAATTTTCCCATAACTTTATAAAATATGTATATTAATTTTTAAAGATTTGGATACTAAAATATATCCAGTCTCTGTATCTGAAATTGAATACATACATGTATGATTCTACAAAACTTCATTACAAAAAATATGTAAAGATATCAGTGAACTTTCAAAATATTTCAGAACCATGAAAGGAAAAAAAAAATAACCTCTCTCTAAATAGTTCATATGAACCATATTTTTAACCTCTTTAAATATTCTCTCGCAGCTAATTTCCTAACAGCCTTTTGCAGCCATACCTGATTCAAACATGAAGCAGGTCCCACTCACTAGCAAAGTAGTGGATCACCCTCTGAGTCCACATTTTCAATTCACCCTTGTAAAAACTTACAAATTTCTACATGTGACAGATCTTCAGAGGTGCTTAAGCAAGTCATAACTTTGAATTAAAGTTAAATTCTCAGATGCTAAGGATCTGCCCACAAGATCAAGATGGAATAGAAAAGGGATATTTTTGAGTGAGTGAGACTGAAAGGGATAAGAACTTATAAACACAATAAAGGAAAACTCCACATAAGGCCAGTCTCCAGCCCAAGAAGCAAATAATTAGGCACATGGATTTCCAGAAATGTTGATTAGCAACAAAATCCAGTCACTGCATGAGAATGAGTGCTGGGCACCAGATTTGTGGTCAGCAGATCTAGTTGAGAGACACAACTCTATCACCACTGAACCCTATGTCCTTTGGTAGTGAACTGACCTACTCCTCAGCTCAGATTCTTTACTTATAAAATAGAGAAAATAAAGCATACCTTATAGAATGAAACCTTTTATAGAACAATGTTCATAAAAGTTTGTAAAATATATAAGTAATGTACCTATAAGCTGCAAACTGTATATACAAATTATTATTATATTTATCAATATAAATAAGATGGAATTCCTTACCAAGGATGAATTCCAACTGTGGTTCATTTGGAGTCTTCTGAATACCTACAAATAATAGGTACAAATTCAAATTAAAGATATTTAACTTATTATCATAAACATGTCATTGAATATTACTATGTTGCACTCTGCCCTGAATGTAGAAATACATTATTTGGCAGAATGGATAAACTCAGTTAATCAGACTTATAAGCAGTTAGTTCTCAGAATAGGACATAGGATTTGCAGCAGAACTAGATATGACCAAAGATTTGACTGATCTATTTAGCTTTATGGCCATAAGGAAGCTCAGAAATATTGTTTTTGTAAGCAGTGACAAATACAAAACATTTCTCAACTGCATCTGTTTCTTTTGGATGCATACAGACAGAGAAGGAAACTTCAAAAAGGACGACCTCACCAAAGTACTCTCTTATAGAGATTTTTCTTTCAAACCACTTGGACTTGCTGTAAATAGTAAATTACTAATTAAAGGGATATCTCTGGTTGGGTTATAGAAGACATTATGGTGGTGGTTATTCTGCCAATTTATTGATAGTTCAAATCAACATTCTGTTAAATCCTTCTATTCCTTTTGTTGGAAATTTTTTAAAAATCCAGTGACATGGCTAAATGATTTAAGATGAAGTGGGATGGAAAGTGAGTCTGAGAATAAAGGTAAGGAAGTGGAACATCTAATGGTTAAAAGGTAGACAGATCAGACTGTGGCAAGTAATAATGTGGTAGGTACATGCCCAAAGACCACACACAGGGCAGCGACTTCCTAAACAAGAGGGGATGAGGACTGGGATGCCATTTGTTACGACTCATGGGTGGCCAAAGAAGCAAAACTAAATGTAAAGAAAAGTAAACCATTTGGCAATAAATGTAAGAATATTAAAAGAATCCTTTCCTTGTTTATTTTTACTGGTGCATTCATCAGATACAATCTAAATTTACTAGCATTTGGTCACTAATATATTGTTAGAATCACCTCTTTGTATAAAAATCACTATTTTTATTTATAGAGTTTACATTTTTTGCCTGGTAACCATTTTCTTTTTCTCCTGCTGATAGTTAACAATGCTATGGTTAACAATTTTAGACTTTCCAAGAAATGTTAGAATGACAATCATTAGGTAGATCTTTGTGCATTTCAAATAGTGTGGATTTTCAAAAAGGTTACTAACAATTAACTCTGCTGTAAGCTCTGACAACCAAATTTCTCAAAAAATGCATCCAACCAATACCGTTTTCTAAAGATTATTTTTATAATGTAAATTAAACGAGAGATTGGGCATATGTTTGCCAGTGTTAAATAATCGGGCAACAGGAATCTTCTGAAAAGAAAAGAAAAAGACACAATTCATGCTAAACAATAAACCCAAACCCTAGAATTTTAAACATGAGAGAATACATACAGTTCTTCCAATGATTTTAATTTATTGAGTAGCACAAAAACCAATCTTGATGTTTAAATACAAATCTTGGCCAAATCTCCAAGCTTGCTCTCTTTATGTAACTCAGCACTCAGTGGTATGGCAGCAATAGTCTAAGCATCTAGTGTAACCATTTTGCCCTACTGTCTTTGGTTTTAAAGAGAAAATTTCTATGTTCTGAAAAATAATTCCACATGAGATTATAAAAATGCTAACTAGAAGGTGTTCTTAAAAAGTATTTATTAATGTCTTAATTAACATTCAAGAAGTTTGATTCTACTATTTGATATTTAACCATTTGATAAACTATCATCTATCTCTCTCGAGATAAAAGATGAGAGGCATATCATAGATTCACAACACCAAAACAAATAGTGCAAAGGAAAAAATTTAGTTAATCTCAGACTATCTGTTAGAACCCAAGCTTCTGTGAATACACATGCGTGTGTTTAGCTGAGCCAATCTGCATTTTCAGAGTTACAAGGAGCACGCACATACTTACTCGTGAACTGAAAGTCCCCAGTATCATTTGCCTGGGGTGTGGGAAGAAAGTGCTGGCCTTCTTCTGATGTTCCTTCCTCTTTGATTTCCATGATCAACCTTCACAATTGTTTAATCTTCCAAGTTTTCGTGCCCAAATGTCACTGCCAATGATTCCTGGTTTAGTATAGATGTATCTTCACACTAAAGACCTGATATCCCACTGTGAAATTCTGCATTTAGGAAACAATAGCAAAAATCTGTGTTACTTCAGAGTTCAGTGTAAAGCCAAGAATAAAGGGAGGCAGAGACTACAAATACCTTCATATGAACTTCCTTCCTATCTCTCCCACTTTTACCTTCAGGACCAATCAACCCAGTTAATGTACAATAAACTCTGTGTTTAATGGGTATTCTCTATGCAATTATTTTATGGTCATATAAGGAACTTCTAATTTTTGAAATTATATTCTTTCTCTTCTTATTCATTCTGTAAAACAGCAGATAGCTACAGGGGCTGCTAACTTAATATGCACCTGATTTAGCCGTAAGAGCAGACAGCATCTTGTTAAGGCATTAGCATGTTTTGCCAAGGTAATATTACTATCATTCCTTTCATTAGAACTGCCCTTTGTGCTCATCTCTCCATCCACCCTTGTTAGAACATTATTGATGAGCACATAAAGATAATTTGGCATGACATTCTTCTTCCAAGATGAGCCAACAGGTTGCACAGGCGAGTTTCCAACCTCATCATTATCCATCGAGTCTCTCACTGCTCTGTTTGATAAAGGTTTAATTATTTAATGATTGGGGTATATGGTGAAAAGAATGAATAACAATTCTTAAAAGCTAAAGCTCAAGGGAAATGAAAGTAACAGCAAAATGAGGAAAATTAGCATGGAGATAAAAGTCTCTCCAAGAATTTAATACTCTGTTATACAGTCTCAAATAGTTTCAAATTCATTTTGATATTTAGCATGATATACATGACCAAGGATGAATTAAAAAAAAAATCAATGTTGTTTTAAATCAAGCTACCAGCTGAAGTAAAATGTCTAAAAATCTTTAAATGTCTACCTAAAGTTGTTGAATGAGACAGCAGCAATCAAGTTTGCTTTGGAATACTGACTTGGTCTCCAGTTTCACAAATCCACAGCCTTACTCTTTGTTGTTCTTAACAAAGCAGCTTCATTTACAATTCAGCTCTAGTTTTTAAAGATAATCTGGCAAAAATTAAATCCAGAAAGCATCTTGGAATGATTAGAAAATAGTACAATAAAGTTGCAAATAAATACACATTGGCTTCTAAGGATACAACCAGGAATACTTTCTGGAGTAAAGGGTTATTGCACCATCAATTAGACCAAATCTGTCAATTTGAAAATTATATTTTGTGTTAAGATAATACTTTCTAGTTTCTTTTTTGACTATTTAAATTTAGAAGTCTTTTCTGAAAGGACAGGCATATATTCATTGTACCACATTCTCTCAAGAACCTATGACAAATGCATTAGCATTAGTGGAATAATATCTGTGGAAGACCACCATGTATTTGGGACTTAGATACAAGGATTTTATTAAATTCACTATATTTCTTTTCTGTTTTTTTTTCCTGGGAAAAATTGGCCCTGAGATAGCAGCTGTTGCCAATCTTCCTCTCTCTCTCTTTTTTTTTTTTTCCTCCTCAAAGCTCCAGGACATAGTTGTATATTCTAGTTGTAGGTCCTTCTAGTTCTCCTATGTGAGCCACCACATAGCATGGCTACTGACAGACGAGTGGTATGGTTCTGCGCCTGGGGAACTGAACCCAGGCCACCAAAGCAGAGTTCACTGAACTTAACCACCAGGCTATCAGGGCTGGCTCAAATTCACTACATTTCTTGACTAAAGACTCAACCTCTAATCCTGATGAGTCATCTTAAAAACTGATAAAGAGACCTAAATAACGCAATATGGACGAATCTTGTCAAAATAACAACTCTGCACACTAATGGTGAATGATTAATAAAATAAATGTCAACTCTGTGTGTGGGTGTGTGTTCACTTGTGTAATCTGGAGGTGAGTGAGGAAAATTGAAGAAGCCTAAAAAGACTCATTAGCACGGTCCCATTTTAAGCATACTACCCATTCAAAACTAGTTCACTTACTAAAAAGGAACGTCTTGAGTTTTAGAGAGAATGAAGCCAAATATACAAAACAAGGATTATATGACAATCTCTTATGATTTTATTCATTTTTGTTCTACCTTTATTGCGTCTAAGGACAAATTTGAGATTTGATACTTGTTACCAAGGCACATACCTCAGAAGGAATCAGTTGCATTACTAGAAAGCTCTAGAAAACCCTTGCATTTCTAGCTGGTAAATATAGCATTTACCTATGGTTATGGTTAGGTACAATAGTTCCTTTTCCACGTCTCTTTGGAAATTTTTTGGTGTGGACATCATGCATGAAAATAGATTGAAGATTTTACATACCACAAATATATTTAAAACAGATAGCTAGAGACACTAAACCTAATTCTTAGAGCAGAAAGAAGCCACATTAAATATACTTTAAGTAGGAGAGTGACATGATGATATTTGATTTTTAGAAAGTTTACTGGGTGTCAAAGTAGAGAATGTACTGTAATGTGGCAACTTGATAAGGAAACCAACTTGGTTACTTTAATATTCTAGGAAAATAAAATAATAAAGAGGATCTAAGCCAAAACAGAAGCAGATGACTGGAGAAGAGAATCTGAATTCCAAAGAAAATTATAAATAGAATTACCTGGCCTTGGTGAAGGAATTAGATGTGATATTAGAGTTGAGATAATGAAATACAGGAATTCAGGTGAAATCCAGTGAATTATGAACCACTAAACTATCCGGAAAATAAAGGAGGAGAAATTTTAGTGAAGAATGATAAGTTTAGTTTTAACCGCGTTGTTTCTGAGGTGCCTTAAGATATTCAGAAAGCAGTTGAACACATGGGTCTAGATCTCACAGGAGATATTAAGGCTGGAAAAGTATATTTTTGGAAATTGTTGGCTAATGGTTGAAGTCAAAGGAATGCATGAAGTCGTTGAAAGAAAGTACATGTAGTGAGAAGAAGGAATGACTGAGGACTCAACCTTAAGGCACAAAGTATTTTAAGGGGCAAGCATAGAAGTTAGTTGGTAAAGGCACCAGCAGCGATAGGAGAAGCAGCAGACGGGAACAACTGAGGGAACCATGTCCTCACTCCACTTAACTGTGTTTCTCAAGTAAACAAGATCATTGGGTTAAGAGATGGCTTAGTTTTTTTAGGAATGGGGACACTTGAGCATATTTAAATGCTGAAAGGGCATAGCCAGAAAAACAAAAGAAGAATTGAAGATTAGGAGAAAGGAAGATGATGGATGGGGCAAGAACAAATCTAGATGATACAATCTGCTGTAATGAGAGGAGGAGGAATGAATAGAAAATGAGATATGATCTGAAAAGTAAGGGACAGAAACTTGAGGATATTCTCCCCAATGGTCTCATCTTTTTTTTTCCTTTCAAGAAAAAGGCATATTTATGAACTGTGGATAAGGAAAGATTTCTCAACTTAACTTCAAAAGCACAGTCCATAAAAGAAAATGTTAATAAATTTGACTACAGTAGAATAAAAATATCCTGTGAGCAGAAGATACCATAAAAAGTGAGATAACAAATTACACACTGGGAAAATATATTTGTAGCACAGAAATTTCCAGCTTCTGTTTAGGATGTACAAAGATATAAAGAGTATTACTCCCACCATAACTTCAAGAAAAAGTTGAATAATATTTAAAATCATAACTTTTCCTTAACCAATCAGAGGAAAGACAGATGCCTTCATGGAGCAGAGCTTCCAAGGGAGGAAGAGATGACAGGCCCCAAACAAGCTGATAATAAGAATTTAGCCAAAATGTTTAATGACTTACTAAAGGTCAAGAGTGGGCTAGTAAGAGAGTATAGAGCTAGTGAGAGCCACAAACTCAAGGGTAGTTACATCCACTAACAGACATTTCTGGTAAGCATGGACCTCACCAGGTGCTCATGAGAAAGATTGGGAGCAGAGTGAGTATCTGGAGAAAGCATCCCTTGATGATGCAGGCCTGTGGGAAGGACGCAGCATTTATTGTGGGAAAAGCATGATGTACCACTTGGATCCTGCCTGCAGAAAAAAACACCAGACCCTGTTGCCATCAGGGCACAGATGAAGACTCACTGCAATTAGGAGATGGAAACAAGGGAGGAATACGAAAGCTTCCTGGAACCAGATCATTAGAAATGGTCTGATCCTCTATGGATAAGACAGAAACAGGATCACTGAGAAAGCCCAATTCCCAAGACCTAAGAGCACAGACCCTGCCTAAGATCAAGGCTAAAATAGGATGACAGAGAATGCCTCTGCCCCCAACCACCAGAGAAGCAAACACAAAGAAACAGGTAACAGCAGGCTACCACTGGGGGAGGCACAAAAGCATAAATAGTGAACCTTTCTAATTTAGAAGTTCCCAGGAAAAGTCTAAAGTGGAAGGTGGAGAACAAAGTCTCCAGCCACCCAAACCCCACCCTAAGCATAAGTGAATCTCAGAGGAGTTTGAAACTAGTGATGCACTGAAGGTTAGCCACAGCAACAACAAAACCCAAACCTACCCCTGTTACTGGCTAGATTGACCAAATCCCCCAACACACAAACTAAAGGCTTAGCAGAAAAAGAAGAATACCCACTTCTAAGCCTAAATACTATTTATCTTATACTCTACTTTCCTACAAATCACACAAAGAAGATGAAGAAAAAGACAAAGACAAGGAGGAGGTGGGGGAGAGGAGGAGGAGGAGGAGGAAAAGAAGGAGAGGGAGGGAGGAGGGGAAGGCAGAGGAGGAGAAAGAAGGAGAACAACAACAAAACAGTTAAGAGAAAAAGCAAAAAAGAAATCAAGTGAACCAGACTCAGATATGACCCAAATGTTGGAACTATCAGGAAAAGAACATACTAAAGACTCTAATGGAAAAGGTAGACAATGCGCATGACTAGATGGGAATTTTTAGCAGAGATAGAAACTATTGGAAAGAATCAAATGGAAATGCTAGGAATGTAAAATACAGTAACAGAAATGAAGAATGCCTTTGACAGACTCATCAGTAGATGTGACCTCATCAAGGAAATAATCAGTAAACTTAAAGATAGGCCAATAGAAATTACCCAAACTGAAACACAAAGAAAAACAAAAAC